ATAAAATAAAATTACACTGTTGTATCTAAAAAGCTTAATATAGAAGAGAAAAACTTCTACTTATGTCAAGCAGATAGCTTTCCTTCTGTTTTTCTCTACTTTCTACAAAGATAAATGCATTACTGTAATGCTCATTTAATGTACCAGCATCACCCAGGATCTGTTTCTTTTCTTTGGTTTGGGTTTCTTAATTTTCTTCAGATTATTTTTGTAGAGATCATTTTTTGCCAAACTAACAGAGACTGAGAATTTTGAACCACATATTGTAGATAATAGGGAAAATTGATTCAGTTTTTAAACTGAGAAAAAAGATTTGAAAAATGGATTCCTGTAGAGTTTTCACTGACAGGTAAGATTGTGCCAGACATTCTGTTTACAATTGGAAAAATATTTTTTTGTGAACTACTTTTACTTAAAATTGTACCTGCTAGTCTTTAAAGGAGTTACTCTTACAGATGATTCCTGTAACAAGATTCTGCAACTGGAATTTAGTTTCTCTGGAGTAAATTTTAATGCAATTTATTGCTGAACACATACCTACTGTACTGATAATGTACAATGGATTATTAGTAGAATTATTTTGAACTGAACCTGTGAAAAAGGATAGGCATAGCTCTGTATGGGTATTTTTGCTCTTCCTCTTCTTCCCTCATAAAATATAAAAAAATCTTAACCAACAAAAAAAAACCCCTCAACACAAAAACCCAACCAACCTAAAGAATAACATACACCCCTTGAAAAAAAAAAAAAAACAAAAAAAAACAGGAAACAAAAGAGCATATTGTAATTATTCCATGCTTGTTGCCATTTAAAATGCAATTTTTCTCTTTCCTGATACTTTGTTGTAGCACATTAAAGTCTTGAAAGGGATGTGTAACTGCGTACTAAAATCAAATAGAAGTGCTACCTGGAAGCTCTCATTGAGCTTTTCAGAAAGCTTGCACTTAAGCTTTTCAAGCGCAGGGAAACAACGGCAGACCCTTTGTGCTTCTGCAAAGTATTGTAGTATTCTTTACCTTAGTCCCTAGCAGCATCACCTCCATTTCTTTGGCTTGTCATCAACATCTCTATCAGAGTAAAACTCCAATGCATGTAGCAAGAAACGAAGCGTGTAGGGGAAAAACATAAAGACTCTTGACTGAAATAGTTCTTCAACTTATTAACAGACAAGTGTGCATGTCAGAAAAACACACTTGTTTGCTGTGAGTATATGCAATAGCTGATGGGTGAAGAAACGGAAACCTTAATTGCTGCTTGCGTTTAGGTCACTGTTCATTCATACATTCATTGCTGGAGCTATGAACTATTCATATGTTGCCACAGTATGTTACTTACACACGACTGATGGTGAAGGAAGTAAGAGCTAAGATGCTTCACAGACGTCGACATCGGGGGGATTAGCATGTCTGCTTCATTAATATATATGTGCATACATTAATGTTGAAGTATTGAAACTGTTTCAAATGAGATTAAAAACTATCTCTTAAGGTCTGCTATAGTCCTTAGAAACATTTAAATTTTTGGCATCGGCCTTACCAGTTTCTTAACCATTTTGCTTTTACTTTGCCAGTGGGGATACGAATGCAGACAGAGTGCTCATTGCTTGCCTGCTGCCTGGTTTTCTGTTGTTTTTCCTTAGCTAGGTCTGCTCTCTGTACTTGCTAGCCATCATTAAGCATATATGAAGCTCTGTGGAGTGGCAGGCATGGATTCTGTGAGTGACATTTCTGGCAGCGTTTTTCTTGTATATGGCACCAGGCCTGATTTTCTGAAATTTTAAGTATCTATGATCCCCATTTGCTTCCGCTGAATCTGTAGGTACTCTGTCCTTTTGGAAAGCATGCTGCTCTGTGCTAAATCTCAGGCAGTTTAAGAGATGAGAAAGTCCTGGAAACTTAACACTCATGTGACAGCCGGTATATCAGCAAGAATATTGCCTGTGTGAAGGCATTGCCTCTCCTGCTGTATTAGTTACAGATCCAATAATCTGCACCTGTGAAACTAGGTTTGGAGATCAGTAGTGAATTGTTTAGTAATGTTTATTGGAGGTCTTTAAAAGATATTTGCAATGTATAAAACACTTTGATATATAGAGGCTCACATTCTAATAAGATTACGTTAAGTATCCTAATAAGATCAAGGCTTGAAATTATATTTTTCCGGATTTGAGTGATATAAATTAATTTTAGTTTAAACCAGTGTCAGTGTTCTTAGATGTTCATTATAAATACTCCGTTTGCAGTTTATGTGGGTCTGCATTTAAATAAAAAAATTAAATTCTTCTATTAACTCAAGAAGCATTTTCTTTTCCTCTCTTTCCAGTATGCTACAGCTACCGGATTATCAAGCCAATGCTGTAATTCTTAAACTCAACCAGTAAATTATATAGAGAACAACAGTGGCTGATCACTGAACTCTGCTGGCACTGGCCTTTCACTTCTCATTTAAGTCTAGCCTACTCTATAAAATGAATTAATTATTGTCAGTTTAGATCCCTTGTGGAGGCTAATCCACATCACAAAACCATTCTACACAAAAGTGAATTCTCTTCAGGAAGACCTTACAAGTACGTGCAAACCAAAATATGGAGGAAACTTCCAGTACAGACTAAACTAATTGTTACCTATAGTAACAAACCGGGTGAAATGTTGGATTAGTTCAAAAAAGAACTCCACAGTTGTAGTTCTGCTATGATTTCTTTTGGCTTATCTATTCTGCTTTTTATTTTATTGCTAATTCTGATTTCTCTCTATTGCACAAAAATATGGATATAAAGGACTAACTTGATCTTTAGTTCTTGTGGGGTTTAGTGTTAAAATTTGATGCATAAAACCAGGGAAGAAGCTTGGCTAGTTTCAGCATCATGGTATTCTTCTTCTCCTTTAATGGTCTAGTTGGAGATATCTTTTGGACTCAGATAAATTGACCTCCAGGTGGGCCACCCTGGGTAAAGATGATTAGCTGGTTTACATCCGAGTGCATATGCATGTGTATCTAAATTATCTGGTTATAATCACCTTTCCAGGTACACAACCTGCTACATCACACTGATACCTAAGATGATATTCAGGAACAGTGCATATTCCTCACAGCTATGGCCAAGAGGGTTTTGCTTTCTTTTTAGTATATTAGCATTCTAGTACACTAGCATTTCTAGTACTGTTTCTGAAAGATTTATTTAAATATAAAATATTGTATAAAATTTCTAATGTTCTACATCTTAAGTACACAAAAGTTCAGAAAATTATTAGTGACAGAAATGTGTAATTGGCACTGATGGGTGGCTGATATTGAGTGTGAGCTCCCCATCAAGTAGCAGTTTTCACATCAGCCCCCGCAACCTGTGGCCCGGCTGGTTTTGTTCATTTCAGTGTTTATTTAAAATATATGTATTTTTGAGATGATAAAATTTTAGAATTGAATGGCTATTTTTATTTCTTTCTACTTTTTAATTCACAGAAAGGTAAAGGTAAATTAGGGAAATTTACCTTACTGAACCTGATAACATTTCAAGTGCAGAATACAGAAAGCATAATAACTCTAGAGAAGATCTGTTCCAGTTTTATGCTTAAATGCCAAAGTTTTATATGCAGTATAATAGTGGAGAAGAGTTGATTCATTGCATTTACCAGTGACTGCCTAACGTTTCCCTCTGTCCTGTCCAAATACAGCTGAATGTGGTTTTATGGATGCCTCAGCATAAGAAAAGCCAGTGCATTTCACTGTCCATTTAGCATGACACAGTAGATACAGTGTAAAATTAATTCTGTACTTGAATTTCTCCAGAGTGTCAGGCATGGATCCTGTCAAATTCTTTACTACTTTGTTTGTTTAAAGACTTTATCCTGAGCTATGGAGCAAGAATAGTAATGGCCTTCAAACTCAATTTTCCCATATTCAATTTACACCGTAAGCTAGAAAATCCGCTTCACTTTCTTGAATCCACCCAAATCATTATCAAGTAAACAATTTGTGGTAAATTTTTTGTGAATTTATTATTTGTTTCATTTAAAAATTGTTTCTCTTACAGTGTGCAAGAAATAGTTCAATTCCTATTTTTTCACTGTAAGAGGCTAAGAATGTTAGCATTCCTGTCTCTATAAACATATTTAAAATTTCAGGGAGAGTTTAAATATTTATGAAAATATAAAAGGTAACTTAAAAATAATATGTTTGTCTTGGAAACTTATGGCCAGAACTTATCTGCACGCAAATTACTTTTGGGAAAAGAGAGGAGCATACTTACAGTCAGTTTTAATAATTTTAATGGTTTTCACTTTTTACTTTGCAGATTATATAAAGCCTTCAAATATTAATATATATTCAAGATCAGGGATTTATAGGCTTCTTTTGTTTACCATACATTGCTTGTCCGTGAAATTTTCATGGTCTTCTGATTCTTCTGAACCATAGTAATTCTGCATGCAGATAGACAGCTGCTGCTGCTGCTAACTTTTCATTGCATAAGTAAAACTTTTGGTCCAAAGATAGCAAAAGCCATTCATTTCTTAAAAATAGCCTACAACTGGAAGGCATATATGCTGCAGGAAAAAACACCTTTTTTCTAATGTTTTCAATTTCATGGTTATTGATGTTTGATATTGGAAGTATGCTGACTAAATATTTGTCCTTGTCACATATATTTATTTTTCTGAGATCTTTAGCTTCTTTTTGAAACAAGCTCAATATTTCATATGGATAATATATCTGGCTAGAGATAATATATCTGAAAAACTCATAGTGGTGGAATTATTTTGTCATTACATAATTTGAGAGGGGTTGTTTTTTAAAGAATCTCTCTGCCTTTTTTATGTTATTTTACTACTGATCTAGTATGTATGTAAAGAAATAATTTAAATTTATTCATTACTCTTCTTTTCAGAAGTGCAATGGACATGACTGAACTGTGCTCCCCTACCCTGTAATGAGGCTTTTGTGTGATTTTGCACTGACACTTCGGAAACGGCTTAATTGTTATTCTACCCTTTCTTATCTTCCAGTGTGATACAGAGCATTACAAATGGAAACCTTTCATGTCAGAAAGCCATCAATAGAAAAGGTGGATATTCTTGAAACTCATGTTACCTTACTTTACGTATTTGGACTATTTCTTCAATCTTGTAAATAAAAGCTGTTCTTTCTAATACAGTGCCTCTTCCTTTAAACATAGATTTTTCTCCCAGAGTAGATACTAAATAGCTATCCCGCATGGAAAAAAAAATTCAAGGGTTTCAAGGAATAGCTGTAGCAATTGCAGAAGAAGTGTATAAATTACCATCTCTTTTGGGTTTTTTCCCCCTCTCAGTACAACTCTTACTATAATTAGCCAGCATTTAACAGCAAATGTTTGCTTTGGTTAAATTATTCAGAACATTTATTTTGCTTGTCAAAGGTTAGATCAGGTTCTTGTTTGAACTGGTAATTAAATGCAGCCTAATACACTGTCATATTTATATGCACTATCAGCCCTGTTTCCTCCTTATTCTGTATAATTTTATAATGTTCAGGGTTGACATTTAGACTTCGAACTCAAATCCTATTTTCTTGTAAAGAAAGCTAAGATTTTACTCCTGTGTTTCATTATACATGTGTACAATTAAGAAAATAAGTGTTAGGGTTCTTTGGAATATCACAATATGGAGTTCATTGTCATAAAACTAGTGAAGGACCTTTGAATATTTTTATTTGCATATTTCAATAAGTTATTACACAGTATCTGGTATGTATTAATTATTTTTCAGAGATGAAGGTGAGGTTGAAAAGTGCAGGCTTTTACTAACTGAAGACCTACAAGTCACAGTAACATGCAGTATATTTAAATTAGATTCCCAAATCTTTACCAGAAATATGCTTAATAATGAAATATAGAAAGGTTCCTAAAACAATTACATAGTGGTCTCATATGAGAAAAAAAAAAGGTCAAAAGTCTCCAAGTCAGAACTTCTCATGAATCTAGAGCAGTGGCCTTTGTCCGTATACATTATAGAACTGAGGCTGATTATCTGCCTGATAAAATCAATGGTAGTTCTAGACAAGCCAGAATTTAGTCTTCTGTAGTCTCTCATGGCAAGTTCAGAAACTATTTTTCACACGCTTACATTACGCAGTCATTTAATGGAATTGTCATATATATTTTTTATTTCAGCTATGTACGTTTATTTTCTCAGTCAAATTTGAAGAAAGAATAAATTATAGGGCTTTTAAAAAAACTTATTTCTCAGCATTTCTAAAACATTTTTGAAAAGTCCTACCTATTGTACTTACTGTGTTGAAAGTGCAGTTTTGAAAGTATCACAGTTCTGTCGAATCAGAGCTATGCTGATTTGTAGTTTTGTTAAAAAACAATTCAGACTTGATAGCAGTGAAATCCTAATTTATCCACTGTCATGGCGATCCCTTCAGACTCTAATATGTGCAAAAGCTGAGACAGGAATAAGGGCAAAACATAGAAGGACTGTCTTAAAAAAACAAAATCCACACCTTAGTTCCTGCACATGTGAACTCAGAGTAGCAGAATTGAGTTTGTTTGTTTATTTTTCCTCCCCATAACCATATTTTCTAATAAAAGTGGCATAGGCCACCATAGGCCACAAGGTAGAAAGATACAGTAAAAATAGCATTAAAAGTGTATAATTATAGTATTCCTAGCATGACCCTAAAGAAACTTGTTGTATGGTGTTCAATTTGTTATTTTGCAGCTTGTTAAATTTTTATACTTCATGGCTGTAGGAGGTAGCTACAACCAAGAGAATATAGTGTGCTCTTACAGAAATGATTTTGACCTCTAGGTAAAGTACATTTATTTGTGTATATATCATCTGAAGTGTGAGCCATTTTGACTGATACAGTAGATTGCATGTACATATCACATACAGAGGACCTGGGTTAAGGTAAAGTTCTGGGCTCCTTCATGATGGGCTATCTAAATATAAACTAGAATCAAAATGGCTCAGTTGATTTTAAGTTGTACAGAAGTGCCGTATGTGTGTAAGACTTGGCATGGGTATGGCAATACATGCCTTTAACTCAGAAAATGGGTCTTAAGTTAAATCATTGCAGTATTATTCACACATCAGTTTGCACCGAGACTACTATTGATGGGAATGAAAACTGGTGTAGTTGTTTTAGATGGTATCGTTAAGACCATTGATAGTATGAATCAGAAGATTTGACAGAATGGCACATGTCCATGAAAGTAGCCATTTTGGGATGTAATAAGTTTCAAAGTTTAACCTGTAATGTTAGAGTATGGATAAGGTCTAAAGCATTTTATCCATGAACTGAGAAGCTTGGTGGTCAAATGGTACTTTGATCATGAGAGAAACAAGCCAACAAAACCAAAAACTCTGTCTTTCCTGCACATCTCTCATGAACATTCCTACTGGCTTTGAGAAAAAGAATGCAAACAGTTTTAGTTAAAATATTCTTTATTATATTCTCAATGGTACCTTTTAAAAGCCTTAAAAGGTAATATTCTCAATGTTACCTTTTAAAAGCCAAACGGTGTGTATGTCCTTGGAAAGTGAGACCACTATTTTCATCTGCTGGTTTTGGCATCAGTACAGTGAAAGAGTTCCACTAAATACAGAGGCAGTCTTGACTTTAAAGGAGGCAAGGAAATGTTCTTTCTAGCAGGCTAACTTCATACAGATATACTAGGTGACATTTGAAAGAAATAAATCTTTATGTTAAAAAGTGTTTATGTTAATGTTAAAAAGTGTTATGTTAAAATGTTAAATGTTCAGTTATTTCAATGGATATGGGGAGTCTTATGTGGGGTTCTTTGGGAGAAAGCTGACTTGGAGTAGCATTGTGAAGGAGTGATTTTTTTGTATTTCTAAATCGTTTAATTTCAACTATCTTTTTGACTCTCTCTATTTCAACTAATTTCAACTGGTTTTTTACTTTCATTTCTGATAAGATGGTGGTGTCAAAACCCCTAAACAAAAATGATGAATAATGTTAGTTTTCTGGGTTTGTTGTATCCAGTGGTTTGCTTATAAATTAATCTGCTGAAACAGAATGGGATTTCCCTTTTTTTTTTTTTTCCACAGTGAAGCACAAGATCTTCCCAAGCACAGGAGTTTTTATGAGTAGGCAGGGGATCTGGTGCCTGCCTGAGAAATCCTTAAGCTTCAGGCCTTCCTGGCAACAGGTGCAATTGCAATATGCGTTTGACAGAGAATAGTCATCTCAGCTAGGCAATCTCTGTCTGTCACCTCTCCTTTGAAGAAAGATCTGTCCCCTCAGTCAACTTTTTCCTCCTTTTCCATCAGGAAACTAAGAGCACCTGCTACTGCCATCTTACATCTTCCTTTTAGGAGAAAAAGAAGATGAATAATACATGACAGACCAAAATTTTGAAAGTGACTACTAATTTTAGTTGCCCCAAGGTTCACAGCCTTACTATTAAGTAAGAAAGAAAAGTGAGAACAGACCACACGTATAGTCTATATGCTTGATTTATTTCTATTTACTTCTAGATCCAGTTCAAATTTCTCATTTCTTTTTTCTTAATGTGCTAAGTGGTCCATAGCCTGGATGCTGTTAGGTCACTTCTCTACCACAACTATTACCAGAAATACAACATAGCAAAAAGAACATTTTCCTAGGCCTTTGCATGTGACCAGTTTAAGGCTGAGATAATACAGTCTGCAGCAGAAAAAAAAATCTGAAAACTACCTTTCCACAAATTGATACTCCATGTGTTTGGAGAGAAAGAAAATAACATTTGTCAGAAGAACAGGAGAGTTGGACAGAAGTATGTGAAAACAGATGTTTTGTCCAGGAGGATTCAAAGTGTTAATGCTATCATGATTTGTATGTTAACTATTCTTAAAGTCATATTGGTCCATCTTAACACAGACAAGAAAACTGTCTGCAAAGCCTTTCTTAAAAACAATAGGAAAAATTTAATCAAGAAGGTTTCCAACCATATCTTGTTTACATCTGTTTTTTTGGTTTTTTTTTTTTAATAAAATGGGCTTAAAAGCTCAGCCTCAACGTTTGCAAGCTTTTTGTAAGGCAGCTGTTGTTCCAGTACAATTCTTCAAATCTGTTCCCTGTTTTGTGGGAATTCCAATTCCTTTTTATTGATTGCATACAAAACCCCTCGGTATTCAGACAACCCTGGAAGATTCAGTTACGTCATAGTGTTTGGTGAATTAGAGAGAGCACTCAACTAAGCCTAACATATTTAGGACCTTTCAATTTATTGTCTTGCCTATTAAAAATCAGAAGGCTTTAGAGACTCATACCTGTTGTTCTGCTTTCATTCCCGAAAGCAGAAGAGCATACACAATTCTCAGGGCAACTGAACCCTTAGCATCCTACTTCTAGTCTTGTCTAAGATCTTGCCCTGCTATTTATGTGTTGTCTAAGAATGCCAAGCAAAACCAGGCTTTTGCTTCTTGCTGCATACTGTTTGCTGACCCACTAAACTAAAGTTTAGTTCTAAAGCAAAATAAACCCAGGACTTAGGGTAAAGAGAATAGAACTTGTTGGTGGCAGATGTTTCTGGTAAGACAAATCTACTGCCAAACCAAAAAGCCCTGTTAGCTCATAAATTGCAACTCACTGTGGTTAATATTTCCCCATTTAAACAATATATTTTATCCTTATTTCTGAATTAATTTGTTATGGAATCTTATTGTAAATTTTAGGCTAAATTTCTAAAGTTCTGCACAATTATTGGGTTTTTTCATAGCCAGACACTTGTTCCTCTATAACCTTGCAAAGTACAGCTTTCCTACTTGCTGTTTAAGACCTTCACCTATTTGAGGTTTTGAGGCAGTACAGCCAGTGTGTGTTTGATGTACCATGCTGCTTGTGCTGGTAACTTCCATGCCTGTGTTTTACATGCTCTGGCAAGGAGCAGGGACTGCCCAGAAAGGATTTTAGAAGGCATAAATGCCTCTGAGTAACAGTATGTTATAGAAACCATTATGCTACAGTGGCCTTGCCTGGCTAGCTTCTCTGTGTCTGAAGACTTCAGCAAGGCCACTTGTTCCATGATAGTTTGATGTATATGCACAGGAAAGTGTAGAATATTTCATCCAG